TGTATTTTGAACAGATGAAGCAGTCCATCTCCTCTCTTGCATTTGAAGGTTCTATTTCTGAAGCAATTGTTGAAGCCAAGAGGCAGAAAAAACTCTTTGTTGTTTATATTTCAGGTAAAATGCGTCTTATATTTCGTAGTTATTTTTTGTTTTCTCCTGCTCTTGACAGATGTTCTTAAGGTATGCACCAATAATATTTTGGGAAATTCTGCTGACGAGACTCCATAAATATCGAGGTGGAAAAGAAAAGTAATTTGTGGTCTTCATTCATACAATTTTCTGCACTAATTGTGGTCATCGCTTATAGGCAGTGATTGTGATTACTTAATAATGTCATGGAAACGTACCACTCATGTATGTCTCCATGACTTTGTGCAATTATTTTTCATGCCAAATATGCTGATGAACAAAATGGCTTTCAAAAGTGAGGATGTGAAAGATGAGTGGAAAAATGTGAAAAGCAAAATTTATGATACAACTTTTTTTTGGGGGGATGGGGAGGGTGAGGGAAGTAGTAGAAAGTAAACTCATGTATGTCATCATGACTTTGTGGAATTATTTTTCATGCCAAAAAATGCTGAACACAATGACTTTAAAAGTGAGGATGTCAAGATGGATCAGTTGAAAAATGTGAAAAGCAAAATTTATGATAAAAATAGTAAAAATAAATGCATAGGAGTGACATCTCAAAGTTAAAGTGATGTGATAAAATTCAGTAGGATGAACTTATATATGTACTTGCCTCAAAGTGTAAGTGGAGGATGCCTCAGAGGTAAACACAACTTTATTCTATAGTAATAGGGTTTAAACCTGAGGTCAACTGGTTAGCGGAAATAATTACAAACATTAGGCTGGTATCCAATCTACTTCTCTCAGACCCCAATTCACATGAGGGAAGGCTCTAAAGCAGTAATCATAAAGTAAGATGCAAAAAAAAAAATAGTAGAAAATTTGATGGGTTGCCAGCTAGGAAGCACGAACATTTTATAATAGCTAGAGTGTTGATGTCAGACACGCTTCGGATACGTGTTGAACATGCTAAAATGAGTGTTCGATTTTTTTATTTCTTAAAATTTTTTCATGACATGTTAGGGACACGTAGCTAACACGTTCAGGACATGTTGGGGATATGCGATCGACATGATGGGGATACGTTTTGAGAATTTTTTTTCAATTTTGTGAAAATTTTCTCAAATAACTTTATAATCAAAGGAGTTATTTTTGTAAATTAGAAGAGATATGAGTCAAGGTCATAATATCAAATGAATGTAACATAATTTTAGATACGAATCTAAACTTATATACAAATAGAATAAACTTTTAACATGATAGTAATTTGAGGAAAAATGGGGCTACAAATTAGGTTCTTTGAAATTGATAAAAATTAGTATTACGAATTGGAATAATTTTTAAAATGAAAATTGCAGTAGTCATTGATCGTTGTATCCTAGATGTTAAGGATGAATGTGTATCGATATATCTTATACTAGGGATAACTCGTGCCTGAAGACATAGTGCAATATGAATAATTTTGAGAGGGATGCTGGTAGCCGTTGGTTGAGTCTATTTGAGACCGTCTCATGGGTTTATTGAAATCTACCTTATTTTATATTATAGATTGTATTCTTTATGTAGTGATATCATGATGTGAATTTTTAAAATTTGAGAAAAGATGAATTAAAAGATTATTATGATAATATTTTTATTTTCTCACATGATTATATATATATATATATATATATATATATATATATATATATATATATATATATATATATACATATTACTTAACGTGTCTTTAATTTGTCCGTGCCTTACTTTTTTGAAAAATTTCGTGTCGACGTGTCTTTGTCATGTCACATCCGTGTCCGTATTTCTTAGGTTGCTAGATGGCTGAAAATGGTATTGAGTGTGTATAGTACCTTAGCGAGCAGGAAGCTTTTATACCCAGTGGCTTAGAAAATTCTTGGAATTGCCTCACGCTTTGATGCAAGATAGTTTATTCTTTCCACAAATTTTTAATTTTTTACAAATCTGAAAATTATGACCGGATGAGATTCCAATTAAGGTTTGGAAGTGTTTAGGGAAAGAGAGGGTGTCGTGGCTAACGAAATTATTCAATAGAATTATTGCTACTAGGAAAATGACCGATGAATGGAAAAAAAGTATTTTAGTACCTATTTATGAAAATAGAGATATTCAAAATTGTAATAATTATAGAGGAATAAAATTGATGAGTCATACAATGAAATTATGAGAAATGGTCATTGAATGTCGCCTAAGAGTTAAGACTACAGTGCTGAAAAATTAGTTTGGGTTTATACCGAATAGATCAACTATGGATGTTATATATTTATTGTGGACACTCATAAAAAAGTATAGAGAGAAGAAAAAAATTTTCATATGGTATTTATAGATTAAAAAAAAACGTACGATAAAGTGCTTAGAAATATAATATGGAGGGTATTTGAGAGAAAATGAGTGACGAATAGGTATATTGAGGTGATAAAAGACATGTATGACGGGTCTATGATTACAATTAGGTCTTCCATAGGAGAAAGTAACGAATTTTCAATCACGGTGAGATTTTACCAAGGATCGACCCTAAATCCATACCTATTCGCTCTAATTATGGATGAACTCATTAGGCACATTCAAGATGATGTCCTCCTGTGTATGCTACTTGTAGATGATATTGTATAAGTAGATGAAATTCGAAAGGGGATTAGCAATAAACTAAAAATTTAGAGAGGGATATTCGAGTCGAAAGGATTTAAAATAAGAGTAAAACTGAATATATGTAATGTAATTTTAGTAATAGAAAAGGTAGACATAGTGAAAAAGTTAAGATTGAAAATCAAGAAATACCAATGAGTAAATGATTTAAATATCTAGGATTGATCATTAAAAATGATGGAGAGATTGAAGATGATGTAACTCATAGAATCAACGCTGGTTGGCGTAAGTGGAAGCAAGTCTCTGGCATATTATGTGATAGAAGAATACTAATAAAATTGAAAGGTAAGTTTTATCGAACAGATATAAGGACAACAATGTTGTATGAAACGGAATGTTGGGCAACTAGGAAACAACATAGAGGCAAAATAAGTGTAGTGGAAATGAGAATACTAAGGTGGATGAATGGAAAAACTAGAAATGATAGAATACGAAATGACTCAATGGTAGGAATAGCTCCAATTGAGGATAAGTTAAGAGAGAATATATTAAGATAGTTTGGTCATATTCAACGTAGGTCGATAGAGGTATCGGTTCGAAAAAGTGATAGAATTCTCTTAATGGTACTAGAAGTAGTGGTAGACCTAAAATAACATTGCACGAAATAATACGAAAAGATATGAAAATATTTAACTTAAATGAGCGTATATCGCATGGTCGAAATGAATGGCGGAGACGGACTTATATAATTAATTCCAAATGATTGGGACATAAGGTTTGGTTTGGTTTAGTTTTTTAGTTCTACGAATCTGAAAATATTTGGTTTTTGAACTTTTATAGTATTTCCCTTGGTTTCTCTTATGGTTAAGCCTGAGGGCCATCATTATCTATGACTTTTACATTAAGAATTGATTTGGCTTCAAGGTAGTTTAATTGGCTGCCTATTTTGAAAAATTTGTCATATTTTCTACCCGAGCAGAGGATTTGTCTAGGGATAATCAGGTTCTGGTAAAGACTTGGTGGCATTGGTATTTGAATGAAACTCTAGTGGGTCTAAAAATACTTGGTGGTTGGAAAGCTTCAAATAGGACGTGGAGGTGGTGGGATATGGAGTTTTAATATGTTAGTTTGTTAAGATGTTGATGTATGAATCAAGGATATTAGTTTGGTAAGATGCTGATGTGGAAATAAACCACAGGAATTTTAAATTAGCTCTCTAGATGTTCAACTTCTATCAAATACACTCAAGGGGGTGCAGCAAATAGTTTTCCCGTTCTTGGACGCCCCACGAGGGGACATTTATATTTTTTTAATTATCAATAAATTGGTTTAGAATTGCTTTGTGGCACACACCGTTCAATTTAATCTAGGAAGTGGGTAACAGGAGCAAACTGGACTCATGGTTATTACAATTCACTAAATTCTTAACGACCCACGATCTGGATACATCGATCCAAAATATGGTGGGTTTGCGATCCAGATCACCAAAATTGACGACCCAAATTGCAATACTAACTCTAAATCAATTCCCTTTAGAACATGTAACACAAATATAAAATACATATTAATTAACTACATGTATATAGATTTATAATTATATATTGTTTTAGAAAATAGAAAATCAAGCACAATTATAAGATAAATGGTAACTAACTTAGTATTTATGAATGTTTTGTAATATATAATGTTGTATAGTAGTGAAAACGATCTACATAAGAGTTCCAAAACGAATTGCGACCGAAAATACCGTACCAATTAAACCTATCCCATCGTACCACGTAGCTAAGAATGTGTCGTACCATGTACCCGTACCTGTACCACGTACCAAAGCGACCCACGATCCAGGTAACATGGACTGGACTAACAAGTTGGTTGTTGAAATTTTCTTATACTTCTTGTTTTGATTTCCTTTTTTCACATCCTCTTCACCCCTACTCTGAATATTCTATATGTTAACTTGTCACTATTTGTGTTATCTCAAACACAACTTCAGACTCAATGTTATGCTGGAATGTGGAAGGAACTTAGTTGGTTTTGAAGCTCAAACTGTTGATTTCTTTTTAGTAACTTCTCATTTATAATAGCCTTTGTTTTTGTGTCTTTTTGCTACCTTTGCTAGTATATTATGTGACGATCTCTTTTTTTGACTACATGATTTGTTATTTTGTGTTTAAAATTGGTCAGAGTGTTATAAGTGGATTTAACCATGTGTGCCCACATTCCTATCATGCATTACCCCTCCTCACTAAAGCAATTTAGATTTTTTTTTGCCTAGTCTTGATGCATGGTGCTTAGGGCATGATGCATTATATTCTAAAAGTTAGATGATGCTACCTAGGATGGATATTGACTTTGTCTGGGAATTTAGATTTGGGTGTTCACATAGGCTGGGCTTTGCTCCTTGTAATGGTGGTTGAGTTGGTGGTACCTAATATGCATATCTACTATTTTGGGGAATTTGGAGATGGAGGTTCAGATAGGTTGGGCTTTGTTATTGTAATGGTGGTTGAGTTGCAACAGTATGTTTATCAAATTGTACTGTGCAACTTTAGTTTTTGATTTTTATTTTTAAGTCTTCTAATAATCAATTTAAAAATTGTTTGGCTTGTTGGTTTCCTCTAATTTAATGTTTACATGTTTAGGTGATGACCCGGAATCAACCCATTTAGAAAAATCCACCTGGACAGATTCAAAGGTTGGTTTCAGTTTGCTACTATTTCTTGATATTTGACTATGCTGTTGTTATGATTTACCTCTGCATTGGTGTTCTTATAGTAACATACTCTATTCAGGTGGCAGAGTCATTATCAAAGTACTGCATTTTGTTACACATCTTAGGTGGTAGTACCGATGCAGCACAATTTTCTGCTCTATGTATCCTTTGCTTAAATAAAATTCCTAAGTTACATTTCTTAGTTATCTCTATTCCTTGATAAGTATTAGTTGACACTGATTTGTGTGAGCAATTTATCATCAATATGTCTTGTGTTGTAGAGGAACTAATTGTGGATGACTAAGTTGAATTAATTCAGCATTCTTCTCTTTTTGGGGTAATTATTAGCAAAAAAATATCTACTTTCTTTTTTTAGCTTTTACATTGGTAAACCTAGTGTCAAACTCATTTGATTTTGTATTTTGTATTTTGTATATTTTTTGTGGAAATATGAGCTTTCAAGTTTTTTAAGTTAAAAAATGAAAATTTTACATGAAAACATGTCTTTTTCATAGAGTAGGTGAAGACATGTCTATATATAGAGGCACATATATGCTTACATATTAATCTTTGTGGTTATGTGTATCATAAATATGTGGTTACTTTAATCTTTGTGGTTATGTGTATCATAAATATGTGGTTACTTTCTCATAGTTGTTTGCTTGCACCCTCTGTTGCTTGGACAATATTTTTGGTAGTTCATCTTTATTATCTGTAACATTGCCTGTGGTTTAATTGGCCAAATATTTAGAGCATTTTATATGCTAGAATATATTGTGTTGGGGACAATAGAATACTATTAATGTGTTTGGGATATTCAATCTTTTTTATTTAAGATTATTAGTGTGAGTTGGAATTTTTTTTTTTTAATTGTGGACACTGCTCCTATTTGTAAAATTCTTCACAAAGTATTCTTTCTTTTGAGAGATGATTGAGATTTTTTTGGGTGATCAAGCCTTAGTGTGTCTTTAAGATATGGGTACATGTTCCACCTTAAAATAGGTGGATTGCTTTACAATAGGTAGGCAGCATTGGATTTTAGATGACAGTGAAAAGCGATCAAAAGCATTGCCATTCTAACAACAGATTGTTTCTATGTTAGTTATGCCATTCTAACAGTAGTCTGTTGTTAACAGATTGTTTCTATTTTTTTATGACTTGAATTATGGTTATCATATGTGTGAAAATCAAGAAATGAGAATTAAGAAATGAAAGCTGAACACCCGATGCGTTGTTCAAGATCAGTGGACGGCCATTTTTAACTGAACTGGCAAATGAAGTTAAAATTTGACAATATTAAGTTTTCCACCAAATTAATAATAGCCGTAAATTTGAGTGGTTTAAGGTTTAATGTGCTTCTGATTTTGCAACAAAGTAGAAGATCTGCTTTGAGGGCGAGAGATTTATTGGCCTCTGCTAATTTGCAAAAAATAGGCCTTTTGTTTGAATGAATGAGCAAAACATTTTTTTGTAGGCGATAAATTAGATTAGGGGAGGAAAAGATATTTAGAAAGGGACAAGTGTACACTCTTGTTTGTATTTGTTCTCTATTCATAAATTATTAGGTTGCCGTTTATCTGGCCTCTCAATTCGTCTTTCCTCATGAAATTTTTATTCGAATAGGTAGTTCAGTTTGCCTGTATGCTGCTGAGTAATTGTGAAAGTAAAACTAAAACAGTATTATTATTATTATTATATGTTGGTTTTCCAGACCAAGAAGATTCCTTCCCCAATTAAATTTTTCCAGTAAGCACTTATGTAAGTCCTGTTTTAATATCTCAAAATCAAGCATATGTCCTTGCATCAACCTGTACAGACCCGCAGAAATCTGTCCCTTGTATAACAGCTATTGGATACAATGGTGTTCAGCTCTGGCAAAAAGGTATATTATTTTTCGGAAAATAGAACTGCATTTATTTATTACTTTTGGGATATCATTTTACGCTGAATATTTTTGTTTTAATTTCCTTGTTTAATTGAATGAATTTCAAGATGGCTTTGTCAGTGCTGAAGATCTGGCATCCAGTCTTGAGAAGGCATGGTTGGGTCTTCATATCCAGGTAAGCTTGTGAAGGTTTTCTTACTTTCGACAAGGGTATGTAAATGTGGGATCCATCTTTAATGGGAACAGCTGCTGCTCTGGGAGCTGATAGGTTAATGATCCATGTTTTGACATGATTGTAATTTTCTTTCTGGAAGAACAATAGCTGTCATGTCAGTCTAGTTGCAAGGTGGCAAAGCGGTTTTCATTTTTCATATATTGCCATCAGTAGCACACGATGATGTTTTAACCCATTTATATTGAGGGTAATTTACTGATTTCCTGGTGTCCATACGTTCTTCTGCTAAGGGTAATTATCTCTTGTATTGTTATCCTATCTGATTTAGTTTGCTATTCTAAATTCTATTGTGCAGTTCCAAATTCCATATGTTGATCTCATACTATTGACTCATCATGCCATTGCTTGAGAATTATTAACGTTGTTGCTTCATCTATATTACCATCTAGATTTGCTGTTGCCAATCAATGTACTCTCTACTTCACAATGACTCCACTACAATCACCACCGCATTGCCACCTTCACCAACACTAACACCATTACCATTATTTCTTCCATTGGGGCCACTTCCTCAAACATGAAAAGATGTCCTTGTATTGTGTTAGAAGCTCAATTGGCGGTTAATTCAACTTCCCCTTAGCAAGCATAAATGTGTCGTTGAAGTCAATGATTACCTTTATAACAACACTCACACTCACGAGCTGCGCATTAAATTTGTAGCTCTTTGGTTGTACAACACAAAACAAAGGGTAATATTCGATTGTAAATTGCAGGAGACAACTGCAACTCTCCTGACTGCTGCACTTGCTTCAAAGAAATCAGAAGTTCCTTCTGGGGCTTGTGATGCTGCTGCATTTGAGCAAGGAAGTTCTTCAAGGACAAATATTCCTTCATCGTCAACAGACAAATTGGTCCATTCCTCGGAGGCTACACCATTGCTGATTTCTGAAGATGCCATCGAGGTAAATTCAAAATTTGGTCATTGAGTGCTAGAATTTGTAGTATCTGCCATATGCATGATATAAATAGTCTGTTATTTTATTCACGTCAACAGGAGCCAAATTCCAAACTGGGTGAGGAGGTATCTCCTGAATCAGATATTGCCTGCGAATCAGAAAGTAAGGTGTTTGAATATTCGTCTTCGACTGCAACAGAAATAGAACAAGTTCATCCTGTGGATCTAAATTCAACTCACTCTACAATTGGTCACCAAGTCGAAGATGAATTTCCTGCCCCAGAAGAGAGCTTAAATGGGGCTGATCATAAGTCAAAAGTTAGCATGGAGGCTTCTGAATTGATTGCTAATGAAGCAAGTGAAGCTGTACCGGGTAGAAAGGCTGAAACTGTAGAAGTAGAGAAAATTGATGTTTCAGACTCTTCTACGAGTAAATCAAATGAAGTTCATATAAATATAAGATTGCCTGATGGTGGCAGTCTTAAAGAAAGGTTTTCCGTGATGAGCACTTTAAGAATGGTCAAAGACTTTGTGGATGAAAACCTAGAAAGCAGCATCGGCTCTTATGATCTAGCCATTCCTTATCCTCGCAAGGTATTTGGTGATCAAGGTATGAACTTCAAGTACCCTGGTGGCCCGCCCGTATTACTTCAGCTCAAGTTATAGCTTTCAAGATTTGCTTGACGAATTTTTAGATGAGGGTTTTGTTTGGTTTTTTTTCCATATGCTTCCCTTTGCCACATTTTTAGCATGCATCTATTCATTTTACAGGTAGTACTAATTCAGTTGCTGATTTCTTTTCTTTTCTTTTTTTTCCCTTTTGTACAAGTTATACATCATCTACAAAATGTTACTAGAAATGGTGCTCTTGGATATTCGTTTGGACCTTTATAGCTGAAGTGATAAATACAGGAGTTCTTTATCCATGCATGGCTTCTTGTAGACTTGTGCATGAACATTTTGTGGTCTTTTTGGCATTTAATTTACATGTAGATGTAATTTTCTGACATAACTGACCGTATGCACTACACTTTACCGTAGAAAGACATGACGAAAATGCATCTAGCAGAGAGCTCTCACATTATTGTACTAGACAAATCATTCTTGACCAAAAAATATTTGACAGACTTATGATCTGATTATTTTTCTTTTCATCGGGATTTAGATTATTAAATGGCCAATTGGGAACCACGGATATAGATAGAACTACGATATGATATGGGTACGACGATATGACAAAACTTAAAAAAATTGGACACGAATATGATCAAGATATGCCTACTATAGAATATATTTTACATTTTTACTATGATGTAATTATTAGTTTTTAATTTCTAGTAAGTTCTTTAATAGTAATTCAAAAATATGAAATGTTTACTTTGAAGTAAGCATAGAGCATCTTATCATAGTATATTCACAAAGTGAATGTGTCTAATTTAAGAAACCAGAACTAGGATTTAAGTAACTGATTTGTTTAGAAGTATTTGTTGCTACATTCTTTGGTATGTGATACTAGATATTACTTGCAAAACACTAACCTATCTTCAAAGACACGTGAATTTTTTTTCTTTGCATCATTATATTGTAATTTGAGAGGAAATGGTAAAGATTACATAGATTGCTATGTCTATCAACTGCTGTATTCAAAGTATATTCATCTTACTGTGTCTTTGAAGATATAGTGATGATGTAGATGGTACTGGTGGAGGTGGTGGAAATGATTGGGCAATGCTGATTTCACTTTCTTTAATTAATTGCAGCCTGTGTTTGGGATTCCTTTTACTGTGTCTTCTAAAGTTGTTTATTTTCCAGAGTTTTTCATTCAAACTCATGATTTTAAAGTGAAATAAAGGTGAGAGAGAATAGAAAATGATAGGAACAATGAAAGTGCACACCATCTTTAAACTTGATTTCTAAATTAGCATTCTTGAAAGTAGTTGAACTATTTTTATGATCACCTGCAGAGAAGCCCCAACATTAAGAAGTCGAGAGTGAGTTTTTTATTTTCGAAGCTAGGCAGAGGAGAGTCATAAACAATATGTGTTGGTGTGAAAATGATGCTTTTTTTTAACCTTTTGGCTATGGTCTAACTTTGGTATCTGTTATCAGTATATGAGAGGGAAAATGACAGAAATAATCCTTTTTTTAGTGTGCGATAGTTGCATGAAAAAAGTGAAGGTGTTTGATGTCCATAACCCTACGAGTAGTGGCTAAGCCATTGACTAACTTAGAAGCAACCAAATTAACATTGGCCCTACATGTGGGTTTATGTATGAAATATGTATGCAGCTTTTTATATCTGTAAACACAGGTACATTTTTCCTAAAACTTCTAGATGAAAATTTTTTTTTTTGGAGTTTTTTTGTTTTAATTTCTTTCTGTATACTAGAAGAAAGGATAATTTAAATTCCAAGATTTTTAGGCAGCTTAAACATCTAAAACATGTGAGATGGGCATTGAGGAGTGCTCGAGAGATGTCATTGTTCAATATTTCTCCTCTGAGGATGGTGGCAGAACTACACGTAGACGTGGGGAGGGAAGGTTCCATTCCCTCGGTTTTGGTAGAACTTGGCTGAGTAGAGTCTTGAATAAGGAATTCAATCCATCTATTAAATGCCCCCGCAAGAAAGAAAGAGAAAAAAAGAAAAAAGGTTGGGGGGGGGGTCAAACTTTTTTTTTTTGAACTTTGTATAATAGCCATTTAAATATGGATCTTTAATGTTATACTTTTGTGAGTGCAATTGTTAATATCTCTTGATTCATGATTGTGAATACACTGAGTACATCTATATTCAAGTGTTGTGAAAATATGTCTGGATTTAATCCAGATTTAGGAAGGGATTTTGTTGGTTGTAGTGGCTATTGGAAAATTGGATTGAGGCATGCAAAAAAAAAAAAAGAAGATAAAATCGTACTTCCATCACTGAGCGTGGACACAACTTTTCATTAGGATGTCCTAAGGATTTACATTTCTCAGGGAAAGCAGTCAACACCCGGCCTAGATTTGTGAATGGTAAAACTGAGAAAGGCTCAAAGCCCATTTTGTATCAGGAGCAGGGAGCTAAATCATGTATTATGGTGTGAAATATTTTATTTTCAGATGGTTTGCATGTTGGTACACTGTTTTTGTGTTTCCATCATTATCTATGGAGGCACTAAATTTATGTAGTGAATGCTATTTCATACCATGATGCTTTACTGATAGATCCTGTACCAAAAAAAGGTATGGAATCAGTACGTTGATCCGTAAAAAGCTGTTGGTTTCATTTTTATTTGGGAATCTATCAAAACCTTCAGTGACTAGTGTACTTCATTTTAAGTTTCCAGCAGATTGTACTCCCTTTTAGAACTACTTTACTTTTTTATTAAATAGGAATTTTTTTACGGTTCTTATTAGACCATATTCTGACATTTTTTGGAAAGGAATTGATTTAAGTTTTTTTCCAAAAAAAAATTTATTGTCTTTTAATATGGTGCAGATTTGAGCAAAACACTATCAGAGTTGGGTCTGACCTACAGACAAGCATTAATAGTAATTCCGCATCACCGAGCTGTAGTTCACAACAAATCTTCAAGCAGCCAAACAAATTCCACGCATGATATTAGTTCTTCAAGTGGAAGCAACGAAGGATACATAGGATTTGCGAAAAGGATGTTATCTTATTTGAATCCTTTCTCCTATATTAGGAGTGGTGCCAGCTCATCAAATTCTGCTCAGGAAACTGAAAGCAGCATGTGGCAATATCGTGAGTTTCTGGTCCTTCATTTTTTTTTTCTCATAATCTTGTTGGAGCTCTATGTTGAAAAGATTCCTTATGTAAGCGTTAGAAGTTATAACTGTAAATTCTATTAGTTGAACTACTGATTTTTACCTTGCACCGATTTTCATCTTGTTTCCCCACTGTTGTTCAAGACATTTTAGCTACCATTTTGCTTCAAAAATCATGATCTTTTACCCATAGTTTGGGCCTCTAGCACCTTACCACTCCATGGTTTGAAAAATTCTCCTTTGCCATTATATTGTTCTTAGATTAGGTGGTGTTATAATTCTTGTTAGAATATGAAATTCTTGTTAGATTAAGTTTTGAAATTTTCAATTTATTAATAAAATAAAATAATTGAAAGGGAACTCTCTCTCTCCTCCTTTTCTCTCTCTCTCTCTGTATACTAGTTTTATTTTAGTGAAAATATTATCATTGTGATCTAAATTGTTAACCTCATTTGTTGTTGCATTTTGAACCACAAGAGAGTTATAAATTCGCTTGAAAAAGAAAAAAAGAAGAGGAAAGACGTCCCCGAACCACACTCCTTTTTCAGCCCTTTTTGTCTCAGAACACGATTTAGTATGTTGTTTACCCAATTTCTTGTAGACTAAATATCTTTTTGACTGGCCAAGAGTCCAAATTTTTTGAGGCTTAACTTCTTGTTTGTTGCTTAAGCGAGCTTAGATTCTCTGTTAAAATTCAAGTTTGCAAATTCATGTTTTACTGTTTCATGGTTGCAATCTCCGTGTTAGTTTTATGAAACAGCTCCTAAATTTGCATAAGTAAAAAATATAGCTCCTAGTTTAGTCCCCATTAGATGGGGGTTAGATTGGTGCAAACCTAAGGTTTGACATTGTTTGCACAAAGTGGTTGCCCTCCTGTGAGAACCCACATCTTATTGGGCCAAAGGTTATAGCATGTGGATCTGGAGTCTAATTGGTTTCTTTAAACCCAATAGACTTTGGTGTCTTTTCATTTTTATGTTAAATGAACCAGTGAGTTCTGCAGTGTAATTTTCACATATTATAGTTAATTCTAAGATGGAGATGCATGAGAAATAAAAAATTGAAGTAATTTTTTTTTTCATGACACATTGGCATAAAACTTCCAATAGTTTTTTTTGACTCTTGTACTTTCAATATCATAGGTCCAAATCCTACTCTGCAGAATAACCTCAGGGACGCAGGGGGTCCTTACACTGTTCATTCATCAAACCAGAGCACTCCTCCAACTGGTGCGAATAACAGCAACAACAGAAAGCCATCATCATCATCTGGTTTTGGTAGCAATATTCACACACTGAAACACGATGATGATGATAACCGGTTTGCTGACAGAAATGCCTTCTGGAATGGAAACTCAACACAGTATGGTGGTGACAACAATGGGAAATAAGATTGCAGTCCTACACTTCCAAATAATAAACAGTTCTCTGTTCAGGTTGTGGCTGTAGCTTACTCGTTTTTCCTTTCCTCCAACTTCTGATGGTCAATATGTCTGACAAAAATATAAGAGACTAATAAATAGTAATACCAGAAAGAATCAAATATAAGTATTGTTGTAATATGTTGGGCAAAAAATTTTCGGTTCATGTCTATAAATGTCCTATTTAATGTGTTCAAAGATTGGATTTACCTGTTTAATTTCCCTGAAGCAGTGTCGTGTCAATAAGGTGCTTGGATTGCTTCAAAGCTATTTCCATGAGGAAGGTACCATTAAGACCCAACTGCATTTTTGTGTAACTTCTTCCATTTGATTTGTGACTCTTGATCTGGTCATCACCTGTAATTTATAAAAAAACATTGTTCTACAGAATTATTAAGGAATCTGAAGTCTTCATCTTTCATCTGAAAGCCTTGATCTTCTCACCTCAACCTTCTTTAATTTGGTAGCTAAAGTAGCATACCCTAGCAAATTATTGTTCGACGAGTTTTTATTGAGGTTAGAGACAACAATTGTTGCTTTCGAATCATTTGAAGAGTTTAATTTACACTCTTAAATTAGAAGTCAGTGGTCTAGGATTTGTGGAACTATTGAAATAAGTGTAATTTTCTCACACTTGGATAGACTATATATACAAGGTTCTTTTCGTACAGAAACTACATAATACCTTGATTGTTTGAGCTTTGGCTTTCTTCAAATATATTAGTGTCCAAATTTTGGTGACTATATATACTTTGATTTTTAGTGTTCTTACCTCCGCTTTGAAATTTTAGGATCAAAGATGTTATTTTCTAACTTGTTTCATGTAATTTCAACCATACTTTTTTTTCTTACTTTGGTTGAAACCATTAGAAAGTGTGGTTTGAAGACCAAGTACTGGTTTCAGGAACAGTTTTAGTTATTTCACACAGAACATCATGGGTTGAATGAAAAAAATGTGAGAATCTTACCAAGTATGCCTTCGTTGATGTGAAATATGGTGTTGCTTGGTTTAGTTGGTGGATCGCCGTGTGCATGCATAATGTTTGTAAATCTTGGAAATCATTATGTGTTAGTGACTTCTTTGGGTGAAAAGTCCTAGATTTAACTGAGATTTATTGTTTGTGGATTTTTAGATTCGCAGATTGAAATGAACCATAAACCAATTTACTCAATGTATGAACATGTGGAATTGAAAGTGGTGATTAAATCATGAACAAGTTATAATGTGAAGGAATAAAACTATTGTGGTGGTTGTTGTTTACTTGTTTGCTATGCATTGTTTTAAGGTGATCCTCTTTGTTTATAATGTAAATGATGGCCTAAGTGTTACTTTTATTGTACATACTATAAGCTTGTTTTCTAAGGGAGAAAGCTTTAGAACAGGATTTTAGGCCTATCAATTTGGTTACAAGTTTGTGTAAGATTGTTTCTATAGTTCTTTCTATGAGGTTAAGAGACTACTTGGGTGACAATTTCAAAATATCAAGGGGCTTTTGTGAGGAGGAGACAAATTATGGATGTGACATTTGTAACTAATGAGATTGTTGAGGAGTACACAGGTAGGGATGTCAGTGGACCCAAAGTGGGGGTGGGGGTATAGTCTTCATCCCCTTATCCGCTTGAAAAACCTTCATCCATCCCCGGTCCACTCCCGTTAACGACCCCATCTCCGTCCACGGTTAAATTTTTAATCTCCGTCCCGTCCCTGCTTTCTCCGTACCCGTTCAAGCCTAAGCTCAAATTCAAGTCAACATAATCTAAAATTCTAAATAAATCTAATATTTTAAATAATCCAACAACATTCTAATTAATCTAATATAAGATAATCTATTGTAACATATTCCAAAATGAATCCAATTCCTCGCCCCAAACATGCCCATATAGAAATATAAAATTAAATCCAGTTGCACCCAATGTTGCAGTGCTACGTGATGGTGACTGTACTTTATATGGCTGCAGGGCCATGGATATTGAACCCAGTTGCACCCAATGTTGACCAAGCAATAAGATGAGTTACAAGAGATCACTATCTGGAAGGCTCCAACTAACAAGTAGATTAAGTGGTGGAGAGCAGATGACATAAGGAACCATGTCCAACTCCTGAATATGTGTGAAAATGCTGGGTAACTCAACATTATCAATTCTTGAAGTCCACTTACCCAAAAAAACAATCCTTAAATTCAGAATAGAATGCCACACGGGAAGATCTGGGCCAAATTTTGATGTATTACAGAATGCTTGTGTAGCAGCAAAAAACAGAGCAGACAACATAGCTGAAGCTCGTGTAGGTGACATTGAATCCATGGATTCTGAATATCTGATTAGAGAGAGTAGGTTAGGGTTTTATTGGGAGTATATATATATATATATATATATATATAACGGGTAACGGGGGCGGGGCGGGGCTAAAGATAAGTCCATCTCCGCTTTCATCCCCGCACGGGTTTGGACGAATACCTATTTTTTTCCGTCCACTGCCATCCCTATACACAGGAAAGGGGAAAGAAGGTTTTGTGTTGAAGATTGATTTTGAAAAAACATATGATGATCTAGATTGTGATTCTTTGGATTTTGTGTTGGAAGAAAAATGTTTTATTTGATAAAACACACAGAATCATACACACAAATTTTCAACTTACACGGAAGTCAAATGGATGCCTTCTGGACCCAGAAGAAAAGGGATTTGGTGTGAGATGAAGTGGATTAGGGGATATGGAATTGGTGAATTTTCGGGTCATTATGAATGAGAAACTTAGAGGTAGATTTAAGGCATTCAGGAGATTTAGACAAGGGGATCCTCTATCACTGTTTTTGTTTACCTATTTAGCGGATGGATTAAGTAGATTGATGGAGAGGGTAAAAAGATCTCTCATTTGCAATTTGTAGATGACACTATTTTATTTCTTCAGGGATGAGCAAAAATTAAGAAATTTAAAGATGAATGTTAATGTATTTGGAGTCATCTCCGCACTTAAGATTAATATGGATAAAGAAGTTGTAGTGGGCATCAATTCTAGTCAAGGGAAGGTGGGTAGGATGGCACAGGAAGTGAAATGTGTAGTGGGTGAGTGGCCATTGAAATGCCTAGGTTTTCTTTGGGGAGACAACCCATTGTCTAGAACTTTTTGGGATCATGTGGTTGAGAAAGTGGGAGGAGGAGATAAGATAGATGGAAGAAATCTTTTATTATTATTATTATTATTTATTTTTTTTGGGTTGGGGGGGAGGTCTCTTTTTAAAATGCTTGGGGTGATGGCTTAAGGAAATTGGATGTCTAATGAGGGATTTCTTATGGGAAGGGGTAGGAGAGGGAAGGAAGGGTTATTTTATTCGCTGGAAAGTGATGAGTTGACCAAAAAATAAGGGCAGATTTTCGACCGGGAATTTAGTGAATAGGAATGTAAGGTTGGTGGAAATGGCTTTGGAGGTTCCTTTTTGAGCAAAATTCATTGTGGTATGTCATTACTAAGAGCAATGAGCAAGTATGGGTTACAAGCTAATGAGTGGGATGTTAATGGGGTTGGAAGGGGGATTTTTCGAAGTTCGTGTAAGTTCATCTCTCAGGGTTTACCTTGTTTTTTTCTCTAAGAGTTAAGTTTATTGTGGTTGACGGAACTAAAGTGCATTTTTGGTAGGATATCTATGTGGGCGAGTCTTTTTTCTCTGGTCTCTTTTCTCAACTGTATCCAATTTCTTGTTATTAAGATGCTCGGTTGCATTTATGGTTTGGTCATACTCTCAGCCGATTTCTTGGGATTTTAGTTTTCGTAGAAATCTAATGTTAGGGAACGTTTGAATTTGATGAATCTTTTTTCCAAGCTTAATAATGTTATGTTAACTCCTAACTTGGAGGATAGGACGTATTGAATTGGTGATCCAACAGGTAAATTTTCTTGCAAATCTTTCTTTGAATTTTTAATCAATGGTGCTTTACTTCCTTATTTCGATCCATCTTGACAATTTGGAAGGTTAAAGTGCTTTTAAAGGTTCAAGTTTGTGCATGAATCATTGTCCATGGTAAGGTTAGTACCAATGAGATACTTCAAAAGAGAAGACCTAATTTTTGCCTTCAACCGCTATGGTGTGTATGTGTAGAGGTGATTATGAGAGTATATATCACTTATTTTTGCTATGTCCTTTGACATGAGTTCTTTGGAATAAGCTTTTTGACTATGCAAATTTTTCTTGTGTCACACCAAAGGATATGAAATCTATGTTTTGTTACATGATGAGGGAATTTGGGAGAAATACAAAATGGAAGATTATTTGACATAATGTTTTCTTTGCTATTTTATGGGTGATTTGAAAAGAAAAGAATGTAAGAATTTTTTAGGATAGATGTGACGAAGTTGAAGGATTATGGGATATACTTCTTTTTTTTTTGTTTCTTTTTGGACTTCAATGGCTAAGAAGTTAGATGACATTCCTCTCATTTGTATTAGGGCAAGTTGGAAAGCTTTTGTGTCTTGTAATGTTGTCTTTATTGTGTGTTTTTCTTCAATAGTCAATTGTGTTGGACTCCTTGGCTTTCCCCAAACAATATCTACATTGTTCAAATCCGAATTGCACCAACTTGTAAATGAATATGAATTTGGTTTCTCTCTCAAATGCCTCACTTTAACCTCTGCTAGGTACTTCTGAATAGCACAAAACCCTTCATTCCCTTGTAGTTTCTTTATTAATCGCCATTGATTTTCAAAAAAGCTTCATTCAACTGACCCACCAAGTCTCGTAGCTCCTTTTCCTTTGCTGTTTCAAACCAAAATACAGCCAGTGGTAGCAAACCAAAATATATTCCCAATCATATACTCCGGCATTGGTGGCACCATTCTTGATCCCCTGTTTACTACATACAATAATACAGGGGCGCCGGGAACCATTTACTACCTCGGCAGCAGCCATGGCGTGCTTCCAGATGAAGCATGGCAATGCTTCAACTTTGCTCGGGCGAGGCACGACTTTGCTCGTGG